TGGGGTCTTCAAGGTTTCGGAGACGCCGGTGACAGACGCTGTCGCAAACGTAAAAGCGTAAACCAGCGCGCGGAACGAATTTGTGCTCTAGGGAGTACCCCGGGTAGTCTAAGTAAGATACGTCGGACAGACATCTGATTTGGATTTCCGAAAGAAACAGGAGTGTAGGGTTCTCAGTCTCAAGATAGTGGTGGACTGCGTTGAGATCGGCGTACAGACCTCTGATGTTCAAGAAGTGCAACTTGAGTGCAGTCACTGTGATAACCTTTTCCGTTTTTTTTTTTACATTTGAGAGTGTAGAAAGGTTTATGAGGGGGATATGGCAGTGAAATGGGCCTCCACAAAGACGCCCACAGACGCGCACCGCAGTTAGCTCCATCGTTCAGAGACCAGCACGGAGACTGCGGGGACGCCCGAGCCCCCACGCGGATATCCATCGGGCCCTTTCCTCCGGTTTCCAACCGGCACGATGGCATTCTCGTGGGATTTTTCGGATGCCACGGATTCCGCTATACTCCGCGAGTGGCCACCCGATGCCGTTACAGCGCGTCAGATCGGTCTGCCTGCACTGGAACACTCACTTCGACCCATCCCCTCAATCGAAGTCGTTGAGGAGATGATTGGCGCCCTGTTCCCCCGAGGCAAAGGCGTTCGCGTGCGTGTATCGCATGCGCGCGGGGGCACGTCGCTGGGGCGAAACTACAATGCCGCGCCAGATTGGTGCGTGGGGGGGAAGAGCTCCGGCGTGATCTCCTGGCGGAATGGCAGCAACTCACAACCCAGCCGTCGCGAAGGACACACCGGGCGTCGGGGATCGCGGGACGATCTCCGGCCACCGTAAGCGCGGGCCTGAGGACGGCGACCAGACCCAGACAAATTGAATTTTGAGCGAAACTCCATACACCTTATGTCAAACATTAATCCTCACACAATTGGGAGATTGAGATCAGATCAGTATCTAATTTGAACAAGTGACCTGGGTCATCATAGTTATCATAGTCATCATCAATAAAAAAAGCCTGTGAGTGCCCACTGCTGAGCAATGGCCTCTTCTTACATAAATAAGGTATAAGCATTAATCACCACCCTTATTCAATAGGATTGGCGATTTTAGACTTAAATCGCGCATCTTAGACCTCCTCGAATGTCCTGGTCAAATAATTTAATGGTGAACATTTTGAGTGACTTAATTTCCATACAATATGAAAGATATTGGCAACGAGTTAAAAAACCATTGTTATTGTCTGTATATTATGATTGTAGAAATTTAAGTATACATTCGTCGAATCCACTTGAGGTATTTAATTTAATATTTGGGTTAGCTATATAGAAGTAAGCAAAATTATTAAGATTAATATGGAATGCATTCAAGGGCCTAAATGCAGTCAAGACTTAACAACACTAAATTTGATGTGATTAGAGAATTAAGCATAGAATACGCTGGTTGGTCAAAGATGTTCACTGATGGCTCAAAATGTAATTCTGGTTTAGGCGCTGCAAACTATGATCAACAGTTGGGTATCTCAGCCATGTTCACAATAGACGTTGATGTATCAATAATGACTCGGGAGCTCGTAGCTATCTCGGAGGTTCTCAAGTACATTATAAATATGAATTAAAAAAAATTGTTATCATATCCGATAGCAAGAGCACCTTGCAACATTTGGCTCGATGTCTCTGGGTATAGCAGAGGTATACCGATAGCCTACATAATCCTAAAATTATTATATGAATTAAGTACTAGAAATGTCATTCTGAGATTGCAATGGGTTCCTTCTCATATAGGATTAAAAGGAAATGAGGAGGCTGACAGACTGGCCAAACAAGCGAATACAGAAGGAACAGATTTTTTCATTCTGCCTTTTTATACAAAACCAAAAGCTATATGAGTTTCAAAGAATATTTTGATGAAAGAAGCAGGGAAAAAGGTATCTGGTTTAAAACTCTCCAATGTCAACCCCCTCATGTTCCATGGTTTTATGCTGTATGTAAATTAAATAGGATAGATATTGTAACATTACTTCGACTGCGAGCTGGACATTATCCTACAAAAAGTTTCGCATTTCTAATGAAAAAAGTAAACTCACCTAACTGTGAAGTATGTGGCAAGTTAGATGATGTTTATCATATGCTGGTGGAGTGTGTTAAATTTAAGGTGGCGAGGGACTCACTAATGCGACATAATAATATAAAAAAAATATGATTTGGGATCTTTTTCTGGTATTTTGTCAGAACCTTTAAGCAATGCATCACAATCTATTGGAAGGATGTTGCAATAGTGATGACCCACTGGTATTTGATATTTCTAAGTTATTTTTAGTTAATTTAAAATGTTTTAGATAGATAAGATTGGGCTACGATGGGGCCGACATAGCCTATTGGTTAAAAGCCCCTAAAATAAAATAGATAATAAAAAAAGACCTCCTAGAATAATTATGACCTAGATTTTGGATCATCTTAAATAAAGATTATTATCTATTAATGCTTACCACAGCCATTATCTCATCCAGCCTCTTTGTTCTCAAGTATATGGTTTTGAAATAAATCAATAAATACACATACAGCACAATAACTACTGCTACCAGTAATGCTTTCATTTTGGAAGATGAGAGGCTGATCATCTTGCCCTGCAACATTACAATCAATAAAAAATAAACCATATTTATTCCTGCAAATAAGTCACAAAGTAACACTTTTATACATCAATCTTTAAATTACTAGATGAGGCCCGGCATTTCCCAACTAACTACTTTGATACTACATACATCGAAACAAACTCAGTGGCAGTCAGAGGTCACTTTCAAAGTCCAGCCAGATTATATTGTGTGCAAGAACAGTGCAAGTTGATTCAGTAGTGATCTTTTCAGAAAAGATCCACAACAGTTAAAGCAGACCTGTTTGGCAGCATGCATGGTCCAAATTTTTAATCAATTCGGTTAACGAATGTTGCTGAATGATCTGACAAACAATACCATTCAAAAGAACATTTGGGTAGGTCCCACAGATGCTCAAACCGTCAGAATGTGAAAGTGAAATAACTAGGCAAAATCTCACATGGTCCTATGACTAACAATTTATAAAACAAAATTGAAACACATACCAACATAAATAATTAATAAACCGACAATATATTATTAAATATCTACAAGTCAGTCTAATAGTACGGGGAATTTGACGGTTGTTTATGAATACTTGTAAAAGTTATTTATTTATTAGTTATACTTACTGGTTTTACCAGAACTTCCGGCACATCCGCCACGAATCGGGACATTCAGACTAATGTATTTGATATATTCTACACTGAGTCGCTACTGTAGCTTCGTACGTTTACTTCTACCTAAATGTGATGTTTACCTAAAATTACACATCACTAAGTAATACATAATTAGAAAGCTAACGTGTTATAAAATGTTTCAAACACTGTAACAAAACATTAAATAAATCCGAGCACAAGTTTAGAAATTAACCAATTGATCTGTTATGTATTACTGATATATATTATAAAGAAAATATGAAGGTAGATACCTATATAATGTTTTAACATCTATAAATAAAATGTTATAGAACTCCAATGCTGCAAAGTAGCAAAAGCTGGAAAACTGGAAAGTGGAAGGAAAGTACCTATATCAATCATCAAAACCGCTGTACCTATACTTAACCCTTGGGAGAATAAATGGCGTGATGTTATTGCGGTAGTACAATTACCAACAATTACCTGCCTGTACAATTAGGTACCTGCAAACTTAGCGTTAATTTCCATAATATTAGAGCTACTGTTTAGTATAGTACGGCTTTCTGCATTAATGTATCTACAGATTACTATTGTCTACTCTCTGCTGTAGTTTATTGTCTTTTTTTGCGGAGAAAGGTTTTTGTTATTCTTTTCGACCGCTGTCAAACAATTCCACTTCCACTACGTCAGTACCTACTTATACTCATCTATGACTTCCACTGTCAAAACCAGAAACACTTCTATCCTATCCCGTTGCGAGCACAGATATACAAGGAGGAGCAGACCGAACATTAGCTATTTGTGAAGCAAAAAAACACACATGCGGAAAATAGCTTAAACGGGGCCGAACTGAGTTATTTTACTTTATTAGAAATAAAGGATATTATTTGGTCGTGTGGCGTCGGGCGTGTTTTTGGGATAAATAGTCAATATTTGTAAAAACTGAATAATTGAATCCAATCAAAAACATAAAATTAGAGCCAAGTTCAATATTATGATAAATGCCTTGGTTGACTTCAACTACAAAAGAAGTGAGGCTAGTTTTCATATACATTTATATGAATTATAGCCTTTTTTTTTTTTTTTTTTTAAGGGGGGAAAATCATCGAATGACTGCCCCCGCCTGGGTGAGGCGGGAGGGAGTGTCAGACTCTTACTGACTAAAAACCACCCCGTTCCTTCTCCTGCACGTCGAGCCGGAGCCCCGGTTACCCGTTAGGTTCTCCGCGACATGAATTATAGCCTTAGCAAGTTCTCAACCTACAAGTAATATTGTTATCATTTTATCATTCCGAAAATTAGGATTATTGATAGAAACTAGAAATCATACATAATTCATTGGTAGATTTATAAAAACTAGCCAAATCAGCCCTTAGGCTACAATACATTATCTTATGTTATAAGAACATATGATATATTATACTGTTACTGTTAGGTAAGTGTATTTTTTGTTGTAGAAGATTAATAGTTTTAGTATATTACTTAAAAAAAGATAATATAAAATATTAATCAATACATAGTATAAAACAAAGTCGCTTTCGCTGTATGTCCGTATGTATGCTTAGATCTTTAAAACTACGCAACGGATTTTGATGCGGTTTTTTTTAATAGATAGTGATTCTTAAGGAAGGTTTGTATGTATAATACATGCATATTGCACCCGTGCGAAGCCGGGGCGGGTCGCTAGTCTATAATAATATAAAAAGATTAAATAATTATTTCTTTTTGAAGTCTGTTAAAAATCAGTTGAGTTTCACCTAAACTCTATGGTTACACCTGTACGACTTTGACATTTGCACATTTGGCAAATGACATTTACAGACAACACGAGAGCAATGTATACTTTGTAAACTAAGTCTTGATGAAACTGAAAGGTTAGGTTATTTTCAATTAAACTAATATAATTAGATATAAACCAAAGCTTGCCATGTTTCAACGTGAGTGTGAGGTTAATAGACGACTTGATTCCTTGATGGGTAGAGACCCAATTCCCATCAAGGACGACAACACACTTGTGTTTTAGAGAAATAATATTATTATTATTGTCTGCCTCGTTGACCGAGTGGTCGCAATTGCGATTGCTGGGCACGGGGTCTCGGGTTCGATTCCCGGGACGAACAAAATATTACTGGGTTTTTAAAAAAAATCCCAGTAGTAGCACGGAGTCTGGAATTGTGCCCAGTATAATTATGGCAATAGGCTAAGGCTTATTTCATGGGAGTCATGGGACCCATAACATAAATAGTGTAAAGTACATTGTGCAGTGGCATAAGTGCCGTAGTGTGCACCTCGGCCTACCTCTTTGGGAAGGAAAAGCATGATGTTACATATGTCACTTATTTTTTATCTACTTAATGCTTTTAATGTTGCAGATAAACCATGGCTACAAACTATGCACAGTATTCTCAATTAATAAAAGCCTCGACGAACTATGCACGACGTATGCAGCGCCTATCTAATAGAATTTTCGGTGAGGTAGCAATTCCCACTAATTCAAAATCCATGAAAGTGGTTAAAATGTTTTCTGAGCGGCCGTTGCACACCAACGAGGAAATCATTCACTATTACCCTCGACACGTCGAGACACACAGCTTGATGCTCAAACTACGGGAATATGGATTATTCAGAGATGAACACCAAGACTTCAAAGATGAAATGAAAAGGCTGCGGGAGCTCAGGGGTAAAGTTAAAGTATGGAGGAGAAAGCTAGACCAGAAGTCTGAATAAAGTGTTGTAGTTGATGCTTGTAGGGCATTTCAAAACTTGTTTTAGATTGACAAATTGTTAGTTTTTGTTTATTTAGATGCTATGAAATAAAACCACTTCTATCATATTGAGTGTATTATTCATAGACTACTAAAATTACACATGAGTTATTTTCTTAGAATAGCGCAACTGTTTATAAGGGACCTCCTGTGTTTTACCAGTGTAGAATGTGACGTATACAAAGAACATCATGAACAACACGGACGGCAGCACCATTGTTGTAAAGAAATACCAGATTGGGTGGTGGTAGGTTTTTAAACTTCGCGCAATTCGTTTCATATTGTAGTCATAATTGCGAGTTAATGCAAATGCATCAAAGTAATGCTTCATCCACTTGTACACCCTGCAACAATAGCATGTATGTGTCAAGAACTTAGTGCAGTTCCAATGGAAGTTGAATCCCTTTATGTAAACGAGATGTCTGCGTTTTGTATGGGGGTGGGTTTTATTTGGAGAGTTTACACATACACAGGTAATAAGTATGTACCTAGTATGATGTGGGAATCGAACCCAGGATATTTATAACTATGTATATACGCGATCGTTACCCGTGGCGCCGCAGCTTAAGGCGCGACTTTGTAGCGTTGGCTAGTCGGTCCAGGTTGTTGTACGGGGTCTTCATGATCACGATGGCCAGGTCGAACCAGGGATGCATGACGTGGTGGCGCACGGCGCGCGAGCGGTACAGGCCCGTGTCGCCGCCGGCCGCCAGCCTGCAGGAGCCGCCGGCCGACACGCGCTCGGCCGCCATGGCGGCGCTGGGCGCGGCGCCGAGGCAGAGCGCGCGCGCCACGACCCACTCGCGGTTGTACAGCGCGCCGTCGCAGTGCCGCCAGCGCCCGCCGCTCGTGCGCACGCATATTGCCATCCTGTTCCGTCCTTCCAAGCCGTACAACTCGTCCAGTAACTCATCTTGCTTTGCCACAGCGCCGCTCGCTATTACCGCGATACAAACGAACTTCAGCCACATTATTTCAGGTCTCTGGAATATTCCACTTAATGTCTGGTGCGACATGGACTTTTTTTATTAGGGTGCGGATGTTTTTGTCAGTTTTTGTCACTGGTTTTTGTTATAGTTGTGAACGGCCAGCACGCAAACAATGCGCTGTAAGTAGGTATAATACCTATTACGTTATCTATACTCCGTACTCAAACTAGGTATATACATATGTAGGTGACCTGGAATTTGACGTATTTCTCTTGAGATGTGATAATACAACTTATTTGCCACAAAATTAACCATGAGGTCGCAATATAATTCAGTTCAATGAGTCGATAATCTAAGATTTACACAATTTTTATTGGCTGCAAGCAGCGAGTTGTCGTTCGGCGTGGAAGACTAGGGGAGGGGCCTGTGTTTAGCAATGGATGTCTTCTGGATGAATATGAATGATGATAGTAAATGCTTTCATTTGCTTTGTATAAGATACGAATTACCTACTTACATGTAATATTTTATGATAACATGAAGCTGACAATGAAACATAGGAAAAATAGCCATCATTTATTTGATTACAAAATGTTTTGTCAAGAAATAAATTGCTACATAAAATATATAAAACAAGAAATGCCTCAACTGTGTAACGGTCCAGTGACGCGTGCGCGGTGCGGCCGGCAGTGACGTCACTACCGGCCGCACCGCGTTTCTCACTACGACAAACTCATCATTATTTTGTGAAAACATGTAGGGTAAACCACCCAATCATTGGCACTCCACCAATTTATTGGCATGCTCTAGTTTTTTAAGAAAATTAAGATCTATTTGTAGCCAGACTAAAATTTTTTAGTAGAAATTAAACAGTAGTATCATTTATTACTCAACTGGCAACACACGTTTTATTTTTTTTCAAACATGGCGGCGCATTTACCATCTGTTTGACAAGCCGCGACCTGTGCGACAAAAACAATCAAAATATTCGTTTTTTACTAAGGTAAGAGCTATCATAATCTTTTAAAACTTGAAAATCTATTTTGTTTTTCTTATACATAATCATTTTGTCTTATTATTGAATATATTAACTGCCTTTTTAAAACATTATTTTATCATTTAACCGCCAACTTTTAGTTATTTGTGGGGTGACAACATTTGGTATGCGTAATATTGGTTTATCCATTTTATTGGCATACATGCCAATAAAAGGGCATTTTAAATAATTTGAGTTTATTAAAAATTATACCTTGTTTTTCTCAAAATTGAGTTTAAATTAAATTAAAAATATTTTCTAACGTTTTGGATACACCAATCCAAAAGTTGCCCCCCTGCCAATTATATAAAATCCATTTATTGGCACGGGTGCCAAACATTGGGTAAAAACGTGCCAATAAAATAAAATATTGTCTTTTCAGCCACTTTCAAAATGAAGCCTAGTCAGAAGAAGTCTAGAGAAAAAAATAGTAAAAAATGTTTGAAACGGAAAATTTATACAGAAGAGAACCTACAAAAAGCTCTCCACGAAATATCAAAAGGCATGAGCAAAAAACTTGCTGCAAAAACCTTCAGCGTACCACGGTCTACTGTACAATTCAGACTGAAAAATCCTGATCATCGCTCTAAGCCCGGTCCTCCCACAATTTTAACTGACGAAGAAGAACAGCTTTTTGTTGACTGGATAAAAATCAGTAGCAAAAAAGGGTTTCCGAAGAGGAAAGAAGATTTGATAAAGAGTGTTTCAGACTTTATTAATAAATCGGGGAGAGCCAGTAGTTTTAGGAATGGTGACAAGTGGTTTAAATTGTTTTTAGCTAGACATCCAACAGTTACATTTCGAACACCAGAAGCCGTAACAGCTGCCAGCTCCACGGTCTCTGCATCTGATGTAAGAGGCTGGTTTGAACAAATAAGGATTTACATGACTGAAAATAGCTACTATGACATCTTATCAGATCCATCAAGAGTATTCAATGGCGATGAAACAAATTTTGTTCTATGTCCAAAAACAGGTATTGTTTTAAGCTCTAAGGGAGAAAAAAACGTATACGAAATTGACCACGCCCAAGCTAAAACTTCACTAACCGTCATGTTTACTTTTGGTGCAGATGGTCAAGTTACTCCGCCAATGGTAATTTTTCCATATAAAAGATTACCTGGCGAGATAACTTCTAAGATTCCTGAAGATTGGGGCGTGGGCTTAAGTGACAACGGATGGATGAATTCCGATGTATTTTTTGAGTATATCAAAAACGTTTTACATCCTCACCTCATAAAAACTGGCACACAATTTCCTGTAGTTCTTTTTGTAGATGGCCACAAATCGCACTTGACGTATGCTACCAGTGAATTATGTACTAATTTAGGTATAATTCTCATAGCGTTATATCCTAACTGCACTAGACTCCTTCAACCTGCAGACGTCGCCGCATTTAAACCATTAAAAACACAATGGCAGAAAACTGTCCTAGAATGGCGAAGAAATAATCCATCTCAAGCGTTAACGAAAACTCAATTTGTGCCATTACTTAAAGATACTATAGAAAAAAGTCTTAACCCGTCAACAATTATAAATGGCTTTAGAGCAACTGGACTTTGTCCTTTTAATGAAGATGCAGTGGACTATTCCAAGTGCCTAGGAACTTCAAATAAAAATAACATTACCATAGCGCAACCCAAGCATGTAACAGACAATCGGGTGCTCACGAAAGATGACTTTACGAAGTTGTTGGGAGAAAGTACAATACATAAAATTGATAAAAGAGAATTGAGGCCCGAGGAGTCAAGTGAATGTTTATTGAAAATCTGGAATTTCTTTACCACGTTTCAAAATGATTTGCATAATAGCTCAAAATTAGACACAGAGCGTCAGAATGACAATATAGGGAATTTTGATGTTGAAAATATGGAGATAATTATCAATAACTCTCCAAATAAAAATGTTGCTGAGCAAAGTTTCGATTTTGTTTCTCAAGATGTTGTTGTTGAGGAAATAGTCCAATGCTCTGAATTAAATTATTTTATACAAGATATATCAACCCTTCAAGAACGTATTCCAGAAACAGTTAGCCAACAATCACACAATCATCTTTCACCCACTCAACAAGCATTCAATCAACCAGAATCCATAGAGCAAGTATCCTCTCAAAAAGCCTCTACTTCCTTACAGCATGCTTCGATCTTACAGCCATCACTCACTTACGTACCAAACAACAAACAACCATCCACACAGCAAACATTTGTTCAACAAACATCTATCTACCAAGCATCCGTTAGCAGTCAGCAGCAATCATCAATATATTCAACTCCCCAAAAACCGTCTATCAGAGTAACTGGAGATGTCAAAATAAGTGCAGATCAAAATAATTTTATGCAACTGAAAGCACCACTGGTTAAGGAAGACAATACTATAGTAAAATTACAAGATATTTTGGTACTTCCTAAAACGCCACAAAGAAAAGGGATAAAAAATACCAAGAAGACGCCTTTTGTACTAACATCTGCCGAATGGAAAGCTCAGGAAAATGAAAAAATTAAAATTAAAGAAGAGAAAGCAGAAGGTGTTAAAAAGAGAAAAGAAGAAAGAGAACAAAAGAAATTGGAAAAAGAGAAGAAAATGGTAAAGAAAAACAAAAAACAAACTAAAGCCAAAGACAATGTGTCCAAAATTTTGTTTTCGGAAGATTTCTATAAACTTGACAATGACAAATTGGAAGCTTTACCTAAAAATTTTAACAAAGAAAACCAAAAAGCAAGTACTAGCAAAAATTACAGTGCTGCTGAGATAGAAAAAATGTTGACTGAGACTGATTCAGATGATTAACGTTACTTAAGAATTACTTACTTGTATGATCTCAACCAATTAGAGCTGTGATTTAATTAAATATAATTAAGGAAGTTACATAGTCTTAAGCTAAAATTGTTCTATTTTTTGTTCAAGCCTAGGTAGAAGGTTTTTTTGGTTTTGTTTTAATACTTTATGTAAAGTTGATTTAACTATAAGCGTTTCAATTGATATGGTATGTTCCTATACAAATAAATGTTACTTTTCTTAACAAAGGATTTTATTTTGTTTATTTCTATTATGAATTATCTTAAAATAGGTACATAGACGATGTAAAATACGTTTTAAAACCCCTACATAAGACCTAGCAGCTATTTTTCAGTTTTGGGAGAACAGTGACAATAATAGGTAATAATCACTGCCAATAAAAGGTTTGGCTATGCCAGCAACTGGTGTTTGAGGCATTTTTTTTAAAAGTACATTATATTAAAGAAAACGATATAATTTATTAATGACAAGTACTTTATAATATTCTGCAGAGATTAGAAGACCAATATGAATGCTTTTGTCTTTGTTAAAACATATTTTTATATGAAAATTTTACCGGTTTTGTGAAGAAGCTGCTTAAAGTGCCAATAATTGGGTGGTTTACCCTACTTATTCAAAATCCTTAACATTAACGTTTACATTATTCAGTTCAAAATCTAAATTTATATATGAAATTAAACTATTTAAGCCACGTACAACCTAGACCAACACGTACCTATCAGTAGAATCGAATGAAACATAAACAGTTCCGCAGTACACGGGGTCCCGGCAGTCGTCCACTTCACTGGAGGCGGCTCGTATTGTTTCTATGTATTTAAAAACTACTACATCAAAGTCGCGGGAACTCGTAAGCGAAGCAATTTGTAGAAAACCTGTCAGCTTTATTATATACTTCATATTTCTATATCGTATTTACTTGTTACTCTACTATCACATCTCACGTAAGGGTTCGTGTAAAAATAAACTGATCGAGATATAAGCAAAGTAGTCGAACGTGTCGTCGAGCGACACGCGAAGCAGAGTGCGCGGCGCATCCACCGGACCGTAGACACCGGCGTCACTAGAGCCAACGTCGGGCCGCTCGGGGCGCCAGGCGGCCTAAGTGTAGTTGAAGTCGTCGATGGCCACGCGGGGCGCCAGGTCGGGACGCTCGGGGCGCCAGGCGGCCTAAGTGTAGTTGAAGTCGTCGATGGCCACGCGGGGCGCCAGGTCGGGCCGCTCGGGGCGCCAGGCGGCCTAGGTGTAGTCGTTGAAGTCGTCGATGGCGACGCGATGCGCCAGGTCGGGCGGGCCGGCGTAGGGCTCGGGCGGGCGCGCGGCGGCGGCCAGACGCTCGGCCTCGGCGCGCACGCGCAGTCGCTTCAGCAGCCGCAGCCGCTCCAGCGAGTTGGACGCGTACGGCGCGCCGCCCAGCTTCAGCGACTGCGAGATCTGCGACGCCAGCTGGACACACAATGACTTCTCTACTATCTATTCCATCGTGGAAACGATCTAACAACATTCATAACTAACGAATCGGTTTTGTTAATAAGTAAATTGGAATTTAAGTGAATGAAACTTACAAGTTTACTAAACACGCAAAAGATAGACAGCAGAAGGGGCGCGAATTAGAACGTGGAGCGAGATGCAACAAGAAGCTCAAGACAGACCTCTGTCCCATCTAGTGGACATAGCACCTTTACATATTTTTTTGTGGCTATAAGCCGGTAAACGAGCAGACGGATCACCTGGCGTCGCCCGTGGACACCCGGAACACCAGAGGCATTACAAGTGCGTTACCGGCCTTTTGTGGATTAAAAATTTGAGGGTTGTCGGGGATTCAGGGATTGAGGAGATTGGGGAGGGGGTAATTGGGCCGCCGGTAACACTCATACCAGGAAACACAACGCAAGGGTTGTTTCAGGTCGTTTTTCTGCGCGGCCGTGGTATCACTCCGGTCGAGCCGGCCCATTCGTGCCGAAGCATGGCTCTCCCACACTTACCAAAAAAAGTAAGTAAGTCAATAATTGGGTATTTTCCTGAGTCAAAAATAAATATTTTTGATTTTTCAATTCAGTTAAATATTCAAAAATAATTACAATTTCATTCATATATTTGACGATATACTTAATGTTGATGGGTAATATATACCGTTTTGATGGGTGTCTTGATAGTTAACTGAGTTTGACCTGTAGTGTGTATCTGTTACAGCCAAAGTGATTAATTTGATATTATTCATAATGACTGGTCATTATACATATCTACTGAATTTAGGTAAATGTGTTAAATGTAGCAGAATTAATCACACTGACTAGGTATTATGAATAATATCTTCGAATACTTGGATAAAGTAATAAAACAAGCAGGTTTCAATGAGGAGGGCTGTTTTGCGTCACGCCGCGGTGTCTGACCGGATTGTCAATGTGACACGTTTTGCAATTGTCGATGCGAGAGTCGTCACAAGTGTCGTGTTTGGGGTTTTCGAGGATGGTGAAACGGATGATACTGTCAAAATTTGAATCAAGATGGCGGCTGCACGGAAACTATACCCATGATGAAAGTTGAACATTTCGAGCAGCGACGGATTTTGACTCAGCCCTATTCATGATTTTCAATGACGCCACCCCACTCACCGCTAAGACCGCAGTTGGTAATGGGCCGTTAGATCGTATTTGTCACTTTAGTTAATTTGAGGCTGCTATTATTTATAATATCTGGATAATGTGCGACTGTGGCGCCCTCAATGCCGTGACGTCAGATAGTGGAGCTGTACGCACCGCGCAGTGCAGCGCCATCTGGCGCGCGAGCAGCGCCACGTTGGAGTCGGAGACGCAGTGCGTGTCGTGGTGCGCCAGGAACTTGGTGCGGATGCGCTCGTCCTTGGTCTTCACGAAGACGCGGTTCATGCCATGCTCGTATGGCTCCACCACTACGATGCAGAAGTTCAACTGGCCCTGCATACCACGAGTTGAATCAGTAATAGTATTTTTACGTAATATTATTTTAAAGAAACGCAAACCAGAAACTATGGTTTACAGAGAGCCCTTCGGAGAAGAAACTTATCCATACTAATATTTTAAATGTGAAGGTGCGTGCGCCTGAGAGACTTTCACGGCATAATGGAACGACGAATTTACGTCATTTAAGTGATTTTTTTAAATTTTGACATTAATTTTTTTATTAAATTGGTGACATTTTATTTTGGATTTACTTATATTATAATGATTGTGTTAATGACTGCACGGTTGGTGCGGTGGCTGGGCAACCGGCTGCCGTGCAACGTGTCGCGGGTTCGATTCCCGCACGGAACAACACTTTGTGTGATCCACAAATTAATTACGCAAATATTATACGAAATTTCACAATACCCATGTCGATCGATTGGAATTGCATTGAAGATTAAGTGACAAATAGTTCGCATGCCAATATTTAGCTATCTTGAAAATTGCGTATTGGGAAGTTCGAAAAACACAAAAAGTAGTCAATGTCACTCTCCATTCCTTCAACTATATATCTTATAACTATATAACTCGTGTTAATTCGTCGCTGCGTTTTGCCGCAAAAATAGAAAATGCAATGCACTTTCGCATTTATAAGATTAGTATGGAAGTATGGATTCCACTCTTATCAGAAACAATACTTAGCGGAAACATTCACACTCCACCGCATCGCATCTCACAAAACACATGAAATACATAATAAGGCTCAGAATGATGTAAGTTAAAATAGGAAAAAATAAAGAATTGTAACAACAAGAGGCAAGAGACTGGCACAGGGAGTACTTTTCCGTGGATAACATATAAGTTATTGTTATTTAAAAACTATACGACTTGGATTCTTTTATATTTTTCTGACAACTGTTGGAGCCTTGCCGGGCATCTGGTGCCATTTGATCACCGACTTCAGGGACACCCTGTATACATGAAATATTAAAATAGTAGTATAATAGGATTATATTTACAGGGTGACTTGTAACTTGACGTATTCCTTTCGGCAAATGGAAATAAAATCAGTTATCTATTGAATGAAATTAGTAATTCAAACCTTGATAAGGACTTACTAGGTATTGTAAAATGAACAATTCTCCCGCGGCCTGCCACACATCAAACAATAAATGATATCAGATGCAATACATCTATTGGTAACTGTTACAAACTAGAACAACTTAACTCGTCGAGCACCGTCAATATAGACATAATTATAGAACAATAGGTTGCGGTCACCGGTGGGGTTTGACAATTTAAATCAAACCATTAGTTTTTTATTTATTGATGTGTTTGTAGATAACTAGCCACTCCGGGACAAGGGATCTCGAGGCTGATTTGATGAGAAATGAGTAGCAGCACTGTGACGCCCGAGAGCAAGTACCTTGATGGTGTGTATGTTGAAGTCTGCGCCGGAGTCATTGTACACGATGGACACGTAGTCGTTGCCGATGTACTTGCGCTTCTCGTTGCACGTCGGGTCCTTGGCCGACGAAGGCATGGCCGTCGCCACGTGGAACAGCACCTGCAACGCGCGCCTCCTTACCAACTGTACAACTACACGTCACACACGTACATACAGCGCGGCTCCATTACCTCGATTGTGGGGAATGATGCCGACATTCAATCTGTGTTTTTTGCAAAACATTATTCGATCAATTTATAATAGTTAGTCCTTAGTCCGAGGCATTCCTTCAGGGAACTATTGAAGGAAATTAATATAATGGCAGTTGCTCCTCGATACATTCAAATGTAGTAACCTGGTCTGGTTGTTAGCTGTGAGCTTAGTACAGAATCAAAGACGATTCTGTGAAAGTGAGAGACAAATACAATCAAAGTACAAGAACACTTGTAAGGGCCCGTGTCGAGTCGAGCGCCCCGCCGGACACTGCAGTCTGCTGAATGTGTCGGGGTGCACTAACTACGACTCTTTGATCATAATATAATGTCTAGATGGAGTATCAGTTCACGAAAAGCGGCACAAAAATTGTGATCAGTTACTTGTAAATTGAAATTAAAATAATAAATAATTGTATTATTTATTGAACTAACACTTACCTACGCTTTATTTTTTTAATTATATACAATTTTTTTTTAATTATATACAATTTTTTTTTCAGTTAAAAAATCACATAAGTGGTCTATACTCCAATAGTAGACATTATTTTTTGAAAAATGTTAACAATCAGTTGGAGAGAACTCTAACAATAAAAATTGGCAGAAAAAATGTATAAATAAACCCAAAACTAAATAATTAGAGCTGGAAACTTAGGACAGTTCGATGATTTTCCCGTTTCTCCGATATTCCTATTTTTTATGGCCATATGCGTTTTGTTGTTTTGTTTTCTTTCATATTTTTTAAGGATAGGACATTAGTCAAGCTACCTCCCATAGCAGTTTGATTCACTATTTCTGGGACCCCAGTATAATAAGCTTCAACTAGGTTTAGTTCGTCAGCAATGTACATCATGACTCAGAGCGTCACCTGCATGATGTCATCGTTCCACACGTAGGTGTAGTGTCCGTCCTTGCCGCCCTTCTCCAGGTTGAGGAACAGGTGCGGCTGGTCGTCCGCGCCGTCCAGCGGCACCAGCGTGCCCAGCTGCGTCAGGAACTCTGCGTATCTGTGCGCGTGTAATACCACTTGTACTGTCTGCGCCCGCCACTCACTCACTCACTAACCTAACCTCACACTGCCCAGTGGCCAGTGTAAGGACACTGCCCACTCACTCGCTCGCTGCGAGCGCACTCAGTGCACCTACCTCTCACTGACCACTCACTCGCTCACTGCGAGCGCACTCAGTGCACCTACCTCACACTGCCCACTCACTCGCTCACTGCGAGCGCACTCAGTGCACCTACCTCACACTGCCCACTCACTCGCTCACTGCGAGCGCACTCAGTGCACCTACCTCACACTGCCCACTCACTCGCTCACTGCGAGCGCACTCAGTGCACCTACCTCACACTGCCCACTCACTCGCTCACTGCGAGCGCACTCAGTGCACCTACCTCACACTGCCCACTCACTCGCTCACTGCGAGCGCACTCAGTGCACCTACCTCACACTGCCCACTCACTCGCTCACTGCGAGCGCACTCAGTGCACCTACCTCACACTGCCCACTCACTCGCTCACTGCGAGCGCACTCAGTGCACCTACCTCACACTGCCCACTCACTCGCTCACTGCGAGCGCACTCAGTGCACCTACCTCACACTGCCCACTCACTCGCTCACTGCGAGCGCACTCAGTGCACCTACCTCACACTGCCCACTCACTCGCTCACTGCGAGCGCACTCAGTGCACCTACCTCACACTGCCCACTCACTCGCTCACTGCGAGCGCACTCAGTGCACCTACCTCACACTGCCCACTCACTCGCTCACTGCGAGCGCACTCAGTGCACCTACCTCACACTGCCCACTCACTCGCTCACTGCGAGCGCACTCAGTGCACCTACCTCACACTGCCCACTCACTCGCTCACTGCGAGCGCACTCAGTGCACCTACCTCACACTGCCCACTCACTCGCTCACTGCGAGCGCACTCAGTGCACCTACCTCACACTGCCGTATTCATTTTTCAATATTAAAACTTCGTTGTCTTGTTGTCCGGGTCCCACGTACAACACTCCGATCTGCAAGAAGACGTGCGGTGAGTGCGTGTGGGAGCGCCCCGAGCCGCGGCGGGCGCGCGCGTACCTTGTAGGTCTCGACGGGCGGCACGAGATCGAGGTTCTTGATGGTCCGCTCGTGCTGCACGCCGGCCACGCGCAGCGGCCGCTCCGCCAGCGGGTTCAGGATGCTCGGCGTCTCGCCTGCGGACACACGCAGGGCTCTCGTCACTTGGAACTCTACAGCGACTGCCTCCGGGTAAACAGATTTAATGATCGAGTTCAATGTACAATGTACTCGACAAGTCTCGAGGCACAGAACGTATAAAGAAGGTTAGAAAGAAAATAGTTCCTGGTCTATGTTATAATTGGAGGTAGTAAATAAAATTATTTCAGTTATAATGAGTACAATTGGCTAGTTTCTTAGGTTTAAAATTAATTGTTTCAACTTGTTAATGCAATAAATAATTAAAAAATAATCATACTCTCATACATTGATTTCACAATTTACCTACTTTTGGATTTTTTCTCGCTAATTTTAAGGAAATAAGTATGCTATTTGACGCGGAAATACGATGACGTCATAAGTTGCGATCCAATACAAAATTCATAGAAAAGTATCATTTTTGATAATAACCAATACCGTCAACTACCGTATTTGATAATAACCCTCTGTATCACAGTAAATATCGACATTGTTTACAAATTGCCACATCTCTATATCGAATCGCAGAAATGAAGTTTTGATTTGGTACTCGGGACTCTTGCTGTGAACGTGATACGTTGCACAATCGTTGATGTAGTGCAAAATGGTACGGCAAGGTGGTAGCATCTATTGCAAGCAATGTATTACTATTCTTCTGCTTGCCATAATACCGTTTTCGTCTACAAACGTCATAATATTAATTTTATATAACATCACAAGTATGTTAATGTGTTTGGACTCACTGGTGGAAAGAAATCCGTTCTCGTGCTACATTGCACACCTGGCTTCTTTCCCGACACATAACAATAGTCCAAGACGGCATAACTTCATATTATTTGCGGAGTATCGTACGCTGTCACAACAACATCGCGTTTGATGGCCGGTTTTGGATATTTCAGTTGATTGGGAGAACTTGCTCAAAATCGCGGCGCGCGTGTACCCCGCCCACAAGGCCTTTCTGATCTTCTTTATATGCTCATGTCTCGAGCAAAACGGGTACGGCCGTACATCACACATCTTATCTCGAAGGGATTCACGGCTGTTTCGTGTAGTGCTCATATAAAGCCATTAAAGTTGTAATCTGTAAATTATATCTAATAATAACCATTCATAACTGTTACATATGTATATATCTTTAAGATTATATTATTATATTATAGAAATAGAAATAAATATTTATTTATTTAAGATCATATTTATTATTATGTATGCTTTTGATACTCTTATATTAATTTGGATATTTACCACTATCTATCATAACAGTTTTGCAGCCTACCATGCCAAAGGATGACTGGCAGAGAGGGCTGTTAGCATTAAGTCTTCCTTATGCAATTGTATAAAACTGAAATAAATCTACACTAATAGTATAAAGAGGAAAGATTTAATTTCTTGTTAGTTTGTTTGAATGTAATCTCCTCCGATACTATCGGGCCGATATAAAAAATTATTTTACCGTTGGAATCCTACATTATTGATGATGAACATAGGGTATGATCACAAATATATTAAAAAAGGAGATATGGTGTGGAGTCAAAAATGTATGCAAAACCGGTGAAGCCATAACTGGCCCTCCATAGAACTAACATTACACACACAGTTCTGACAAAACAATACTACGAATAAGTAACAGTAATTCAAATATTGTTCTTTAATCGACAGCGCACATTCTCCTATGATTTACTCACACTAAAACAATTAATAGAACTAGATATCTCACAGACAAAACAGCGTTCAACAGATCATCAAACGAGCTGAAAGATCTTATCAAAAATGTTACCAATGACAATCTCCAGGCTTTTCTCTCCAACTTAACTCCAAGTTTGGATACCGATACTTCTTTGTGGAAGACAACAAAAAAATTAAAACGTCCCTGTAACCAAATCCCCCTCATCAGAAAAAGTGATGGAGGCTGGGCAAGATCTGATAAAGAGAAGGCACAATCTTTGCGGAACACATAAGCAAAGTATTTCAACCATTCCCTGAATGAAGATCTGAGCATACTGCGAAAATAAAAACTTATCCAGAAAGTGCTGACTAAATGTGTCTCCCGGTAAAATATACGAGCCCTAAAGAAATACTTAGGGAAATAAAACACCTGAAGGATGGAAAATCACCAGGGTACGATAATATAGATAGCGTAGTTTTAAAAAACTTACCTAAAAAGGGTATAGTAGCAGTTGCCAACATTTTCAATGCCTGCCTCAGACTAAATCTTTTCCCGAGACAATGGAAAATAGCACAAGTAATCATGCTACCCAAGCCCGACAAATCGCCTAATGAAGTTACCTCGTACCGACCTATAAACCTATTACCAACATTAGGTAAACTATTCGAAAAGATCATACTAAACTGATCACTGACGGACTGACTGACAGACTATTATTTATTTTGTATTTGTTGACGTTTCAAAAGTACCAAACTATGGTTTAATTGACTTTGACTTATAGGATGAGGTTATGCTTAGATGACATCATTCCAAACCACCAGTTTGGCTTCCGAGAAAACCACGGAACAGACTATCAAAACATAAAAATGAGCTTGCCCACAGACTGAGTGGAGATCAAGGCCTTCAGTGTAAAAGACTGAAAAGTCACAGTGTTTCAACCTTACAAAATAGATTTACCAGGATGGAATGAGACACCAAACTGAGAAGTGTCTATCCAAGCTATAAACCATAACCAGATATTGAATATCAGACAAGACAGTGGCTTATTGTTGCCCACCACAGATTGCCGCGAAGCAGGAAGACAACAAAACAAAACTAAAACAATTTGTCACTGTGTGTTAGGAGCGGGATCTACCGTCGCCGTAGTGACTTGACGATATCGATAGCTCCCGATGAATATATCGATAAATTTATTACAAAGGTTTTGGAAATAATGTAAAAACGACATGAAACCAACAAAATATTATTTAATTATTAAAAATATTTTATTTAAAAAATAATTACAAAACAAACGACAAGTTGTATGTAGTTATAATGATGTAATTTGAATAAGGAGGGATCGCATTCTTGGTTAATTAATGAGGTCTTAAAGTGGTATATTTTTCCATGACTGCTGAAAGGCTGATGCTTTCTCAGATGTTGTGTCACTTTAACTCTTTCAGTCACACTTCTAACTGGTTATGAATATATTTCATTTAATTATACTAAAATACTTAAAAAACAAAGCAAAAAAATCTGAAGCATACTTCAAAAATTGAATTTCTAAGAAAAGGTGGTTGGTTACAGTGACCACTAAGACTGAAAGAGTTAACATGAATTCTATCTTTCACGATCAACAATACGGATTCACCAAGGGTCGCTGCACTAATGACGCGGGAGTAGCTTTAATTAAGAGGGTTTTCGCCTCTTGGGAAGAAGCACGGGATGCCATCGGCATCTTTTGTGATCTTTCGAAGGCATTCGACTGTGTTGAACATGAGACTATTGCTAAAGCTGGAACACTACGGCATTCGGGGGACGTCGCTAAATCTGTTGAAATCATACCTTCAGGATAGGCAACTTAAAGTACAAGTAAATAAAGTAAATTCACAGGGTGCTAGCATATCTATGGGTGTACCGCAGGGTTCGATATTAGGTCCATTCTTATTTTTAGCGTACATAAATGACTTGCCCCATTTATTTAAAAATAAACCGCAGATGGTATTATTTGCTGATGACACTTATTTAGTTTTTAAAATAAATAGACGCACAAATAATTATGACGACGTAAATAATACCCTAATGAAAGTTCAAAATAGGTTTACATTAAATAACTTAGTACTAAACGATAAAAAGACAAAATGTACTAGATTTGTTTTGCCAAACGTTAAAAGCAACGAATGTCACATTTTATTGAATGGTGAGAAATTAGAGTTTGTAAAAGAGACAACTTTCCTGGGAATTACTGTAGACGACAAATTGCAATGGGGTTCTCACGTTACGATTGAGCTCTGCAGCTTATCCTATCCGGAAGATCCGACAGTTAACCGACATAGACACGGCAAGGCTAGTGTATTTCAATTACTTTCATAGCATTATGTCGTATGGCATTTTGCTGTGGGGATACGCTGCTGACATTGAGTGTATCTTTATCTTACAAAAGCGCGCCGTCAGAGCTATTTACAATCTAGGTCGTCGCGAATCTTTAAGGAGATCAACATTATGACCGTTCCATGTCAATTTATTTATGAAAACATCATGTATGTTTTTATAATATATTGTTGGACATCACTTAGGTTAAGTAAGAGTGGGGTTAGGATGACAGTTACTATATAAGCGGCGGAATACCGGCGCCTTGCCCCTATTCGGTCACCATCAGTCGTGCAACATACATCCAGGTTTTGTTTTGTAATTTTGTATATCTAGCGAGGGTAGATTGTTTTCATTTTGTTTATTTAAGAATTTGGTTTTTTTGATGATTGTGTCATACATTTTTGATAATTGTGTAATAATTTTAATTTTAGTTATAAGGTAATAAATTGTCCATTTTAAATAAATTCAACCCGCTTCTGATTTCTAATAATATAAATTATATAACTTAGATAACCATTGTACATGTGAGAGCCCTGTAATTAACTTAATATTAAATTAGACGGGTAAAATCCCTGTGAGATTGTTTTTATTATTTGAAATCACGAAAATAAACAACATTTCACAATAAATATAACTAAAATTATTCTGATAGGATTTTTTGTTACACTGTATTTCAATTAATCTTGGAAAAGACTCATTTTAAAAACCCGGAATTTGCACGAAGTCATTATTATACGTGGACGAAGTCGCGGAAAACAACTAGTAAATAAATAAATGAAAAATACACTCAAAATGTTTATACTTCAACTCAAATATTGTTTTCGTTTATGGTGTAAAAATTTATTTTGAACCACTCAAAGTAATTTTTTATTCATGTTTTTTGGCCGCAATTCAAGCGGTTTAGCGCCACATTGAACACTGAATTGATAAATGACAAAGACACGGCTGGGGATAATTTTTGAGGTCCGACGACGATGACTATAGTTCTATTGGTGTGTCTCAATAGTCTCAATGCTGTTGGTAGCCACTGTACTAGAGGGCGCGCGAGGTGCCCTTACAAACTGAAACAATCCCCGGCGCGGCGTACCTGGCACGGGCGGCGTGATGGGGTAGGTGCTCATGTTGTGGTACAGCTGCAGGAACACGAAGGACGGCGACAGGCCGCCGCCGCCGCCGCCCACCGCGCCCGGCGCC